TAGGGGTCGACCTCTGTCCCCCAACCAACACTGACTGTGACCTACCGGAGAGGTAGGAGGAGAACCACCGGAGAATGGTGCCTCCCACTCCCACCTCCTCCAGATATTGCGGAAGGATACCATGGTCGATGGTATCGAAAGCCGCTGAGAGGTCAAGAAGCACCAGGATAGAGGAGTGCCCTCTATCCCTAGCCCACCAGAGATCCTCGATCAGTGCGACCAAAGCGGTTTCTGTGCTGTACCCAGGCCTGAAACCAGACTGAAAGGAATCCAGATAATCCGCTTCATTCAAGGTCCGTCGGAGTTGAAGCGCCACCACCTTCTCAACAACCTTCCCCAAAAAAGGAAGGTTGGAGACAGGACAGTAGTTTTTCAAGGCGGCTGGATCCAGGGAAGGCTTCTTGAGGAGGGGTCTCACCACCGCATCCTTTAGTGGTTGCGGGAAAGACCCCTTCTGCAAAGAAGCGTTGGTAATCGCCTGGAGCCAGCTGCGTGTCACCTCCCTGCTGGTCGAAACCAGCCACGGGTCCAGTAAACAGTTCTACATATCTACATATCTTTCTATCTACATAGAAACAGTTCTACATATCTACATATCTTTCATATCTGTTCTACATATCTTTGCAGGCACTCAGTAGCAGGCTCCACCCACCCATCCAGACATCATCACGTCCATTTTTGACGCCTCAACTCATGCACTCTCACATTGCTACTGAACCGGTAGCAAAGGTAAGTGGATTTCACCCCTGCTTTCCTCCTTTATTTGGGCTCGCTCTTGTTTTAATATATACACTATAATTTCAAGTGTCACTTTTTTTTCTAAAATGTTTTACAAAAACATCTTTAAAATGAATGGCCAACTTTTGCTCCCAACTTGCAGAATCCTTCCCTTCCCAAGGTATATTGGGGAAGGAAACTTTATGTTTTATATTGATTCCATGAAGGAGAGTTTTAAATAGGTTGGTATTGCTCTATGGCTCCTTTCAAACATACCATCAAATTTCAACATTAGTTTTGTATCATCACAGCAAGTTTCTGGTTTATGTGCTTTCTCTTCCCTTTTTCCTCTGGCATGGGCTCAATCATCATTAAATCCAAACTTGAAGGCTCCATGTTTATTTTAAGTTATAATTGGTTTAAAGCAGTCAGAACCAAATGTTATTTGATTTGGCTTTCTAGCAAACCATCGTTTAAAAGAAATCTGTACCCCCAAACTCTTTCCAGTAATTGGAGGAATTATTATATATACAGTATATATAGGTAGGTAGAAGTTATTGGATACTTGGGAAACTAATATTAACTATACTTAATTTTTACAATTAAATTTAGTTTTGTTCTGATCTGTCCTGGGTTCTTTTTTTGTTCAGGAAATGCAGAATCTGAATACAGCCTTTGCTCTTAGTTTGCCCATTCCTAGTTTAAATTAAGTAGGCTATTCATAAGACATAACTCTGTTTAAAAATGAAAGGAAGTGGTTTTGTTCTCATGTCCACTTTAGAAAAAGAGGAGTGTGAGTACAAGAGCCAAAAGATTATACAAGTGAAACTCGAAAAATTAGAATATCGTGCAAAAGTTCATTTATTTCAGTAATGCAACTTAAAAGGTGAAACTAATATATGAAATAGACTCATCACATGCAAAGCAAGATAGTTCAAGCCGTGCTTTGTCATAATTGTGATGATTATACATGCAATGCTTACCCATTTATTTAATGTTCTGAAAAGTAGTCCATGTTGTATGAATAATGTTCTTCTATTTCATTCAGTATTTACGGAGCCCACCAGAAATCTGCTCTATTATTCAAGCTTCACCAGGATTTAAACCACTGAAAGTACTCCAACATCCAACAAATAGAAAAGAAGGGTTTCTACCACCAGAGGCAACTGAAGGTAAAAGGAAGAGAAAGAGAATATGATTATGAGCTATCTTAAATGGGTAACATGCTTTCAGATTCTATTGCAGAAAATAGTTTGTGGTAGTTTGGGATAAAAACTTCAGAACAAAAAACCAGACTTGGAGTGAACCTACAACGCAAATTGCTTGGAAAGTGCATTGAAAAAATGTGAGATTAGCTCCTGAGTTCAGATTATTTCTTGGCTATATTGTAGATCTGCAGAATAATTTGTGGGCAAATCATTTCTAACAGAAATGAAAAACCAATTTAGTCAGTTTTATTTCCACCTTTAAAAGTTACCCTAATTGATTAAGTAATCAGTCTAACATAAATCAGCAAAGGCAAAATTGGTAATGTTGAGCATAAAAGTACATTATTATCTAGAAATAATTATATTAGGAAAAGATATGGAAGATCGTTACTATTGAAGGATGGCAGTTTATATATCTTGTCTGTTACCAAAAAGTATATTAGAGCCGTGGTGGCACACTGGTTAGAATGCAGTACTGTAGGCTGCTACTGCTGACTGCCGGTGTTCGGCAGCTCAATTCTCACCAAGCTCAAGGTTGACTCAGCCTTCCATCCTTCTGAGGTGGGTAAAATGAGGACCCAAATTGTTGGGGGTAAGATGTTGACTCTGTAAACTGCAAACTCTGTAAAATTCAACAATGTAATACTGATTTATTTTCTTCAAAAGGTGAAACAGAAATTTTATCCCAGTTCAAAAATATTTATATTTCAGATATTATTACAAGCTCAAAATACTGGACCTGTGGTAATGGGAGCTGAATGTTTCAGTTGTTCTCTCACCAAAGCAGGAAGAAACTAAGCAGAGTACCTGCTGGATCCTGCTGCAGTATCTACTATAAACAGCAGGTATAATTAGTAAAATTCACGAGCATTAAATTCTATTGGAATAAATTATATTAATACTCTCTTCATATCTTACATATTCCTATAGTTATATCTAATTTCCAGTATATATCTATGCTTGTTACATGCTTCTGAATTTCATACTTATTGAAGAATATGTAAAACGGTTACCTAGGAAGGAGATTGTTGGATCTGCATATAGAAATGTATTATTTCTGTATTGAAATTTATTTTGGTTTACTTCTTACAGTTTTCTTAAGGATGATATAAAACATTTAGTTGATTGAATCATTAAAAAAAGGAAAAATGTGCAAATGAGAAAATGGAAGGCAGCACATAATTAAAGAAAATATCTGGCTTTTGTACATTTGAAACCTGATGATAGTTTTAAAGAAAATAATGGGGCAAAATATACTTCAGGATACGTATATTTTGATAGGTAAAAATATTGTTCACTGATTATAAAATGACATAAGGTTAGTGTTCATGTTTTGAATTATATTTTTGAAACTATTTATAAACACATACACGCACACATACATGTTTCTGTGTGTGTGTGAGAGAGAGATATGTCTCAGAGATATTAACCTAAATTCAGCTAAACTGAAATATTTGAATTTAATCCTATTCAGAATAATTGCTTCTATTTTTCACTTCAACTATACTGAATGTAAATTAAAATGTGAAGCTCTAATACTTTTGTCCTCTGAATATGTAAAAAAATAAATTATTTTTGTTAGCAGAGTTCTTTTTAACAGTTATTTCTTATCCTCAACGGATTTTAAGACAAAATGTTAATCTTCATTGCTGGATTGAAAGATACTGTTCTGCCAGTTACTTTTGATAAAGGAGCTTCTGTGGTGCTGTTCTCCTAACACGTTTATGATGGTTTACTCAGCCCAGTTTTCTGGCCAAACACAACACACTGAATTATAAAATGAAACAAATCAAGTTGAGTTTTCACAATATAATAAGCTAAAATGTATTTTGCCTCTTGCTGATTCAGTATGCTGGGCAAATCTAGCCTGTATTCTGATTTACTCAATCTCCTCCCTCTACCTTAAAGGCTATTCTTAAAAATTTTTGTTGATGACACAATGTTTAGTATACCCTTTGATTTGTATCTAACATACTTATAAAAACAAGTGTGATGGGTAGTTAGAAGAAGTCGCTATGAAGATCAGAAGCAGCTGCCTCTCGTAAACTAACCAAAGCTCCTTACTATGCTTGGATTTGATTTGGTACAACCTTTTTTGGAGAACAATTTTACTGAGGCTATTCCATGAAAAAATAATCAGGACAAAGTAAATCTTTGCTGGCTCTTGTTGCCTTTGTCATATGGTTATACCAGTGGAAAATAGAAGCTTAATACTTCTGATTTCTCTCGATGTTATTTTCCAAAACATCTAATGTGGTCAAGGTCACTTTATAATGAAGATTCTCCTCTGATGGATGTCTTCAGTGGTGTTGACATAAGCACAGCAACATATCCAGCAAGCTTCTGATTCCAGTCAGGAATAATCTGTCCGATGTAGTCCTTCATGGTGTCACTTCAAATTTTCATCTTACATAACACAACATTGCTAATGAGAGAGTTTGTTCCTATCAAAAGCCCTTGTTTTATAGAATAATAAAAGACAGCTCTTCAGTTTACCTGAAAAATTAGATGGAAACTATATCATTTATTATAGAGACACATTATTTACACATAGGACTGACTGACATTGTCTAGTCATCACTTGATGGCTTGCATATCAAGTAAAAACTTAGAAGTATGACCGAATCTTAGATTTTAGACATTTGCTGGAGGTTACATTTTGCTTGCAACCCATGAACATCCTTACATTTTGCTTGCAATTCATGACCATCCTTATCATTTCTCCTATTTAACTGTGACTCGTCTAATGTTAAGAGAGTATATAATGCACTATGAGGGAATGCCAAGGATTCTGGAATTGGAGTCTAGTTTTGTGCATTCATGCATAGTTGATATTTCCCTATCTGTATTTCAATTTTGCTTTCCAGGTAATTTTGGGATTTTTGATGCTCTCTGAGTTTGTTAGTTTTTTTGCACACATTTCATTACCAAACTAGATAACAACATCAATGCTAGTAGGGACTGGGTTTTACTCTCATTTTATATTCTATTGTTTGCCCCATCGAGGAGGAGGAGGAGGACGACGACGACGACGACACTCACAACAGTAAAAAAAAAAAAAAAGTAGCTAAAGTACAGTATAAAAATAGGTTCCACCACAAAAGCGCGTAGGACAAAATCGCGCTCGACAAAAGCGCGCTGTGACATCATCACAGCGCGACGAAAAAGATCGAAAAAATGTAAAAATAAAGCTAAAACCTTCCCCTAACCCCCCCAAACCTAACCGTAAACCTAACCCTAAACCTAACTCTTAACCTAACCCTAAACCTAACCCTAAACCTAACCGTTAAAGTAACGAAAAACGTAACGCTAACCCTTATCCTAACCCTAACGCTAACGCTAACCCTTAACCTAACCCTAACCCTAACCCTAACCCTAACCCTTACCTTTATGTGAATCGGCTTGCTTTAATTTAATTTTTATTAATTTTTATTTGAATTTTTCGATCTATTTCGTCGCGCTGTGATGACGTCAAAGGCGCGATTTTGTCGATCGCGCTTTTGCCGTCCGCGCTTTTGACGGGTCACGTAAAAATAAAGAAAACCTGTAAGATAATGTTTAAAAAGCATATTAAAACCATAAAACATGATCAAAGACCAGGTTACCAAAACTTTAATCACATTCAATACATAGCTGGATCTCTAAGCCTGGCAGGCAAAGCCACATCTTCAGGACCTCACAAAAGACTAATGGGCTGAGGGCAATCTAACCCAGGATTTATAAAAAATTTACACAATTGAAATTGAACATACTGTATAAATTCTGCTTTGTAACTTGGAAAAAAATGTTTCATTTTGTTCACATATAACTGTCATTAAGGCTAGATTATTTTTTGTTACAGAGCAGAGAAAATGGGTCTTAACTTCTCTGCTTGAATTTCTTCATAGAATTAGAGTATTCTAAACTTAGAATTAGGATATTCCAAACTATTTCTCAGGCACAAAAGTAAGGCTTCAATTGCTGACGCAAAAAGAAATGTCTATTTATATTGATTGATTCACTGATTTTATAGTCCCATTTTTATTATTTTTATAAGCAACTCAAGGTGGCAAACATGTCTAATACTCTTCCTCCTATTTCCCCCCACAATAACAACCTTAAGAGGTAAGTTGAGCTGAGAGAGTGTAACTGGCCCAATATCACCTAGCTGGCTTTCATAGGTAAAGCCGGACTTCAACTTCCAGACTCCCAGTTTCTAGCCTGATGCTTTAAGCACTAGGCCAAACTGGCTTCCCTATATAAACTGGAGTGGAGCATGAAAAAGCATTATATTTGGTGACTGTTATATCTACTACCAAGTCTTTACTCTGCCATACAATTTTGATACTCAGCACTATGTTTCGCAGGAGTAAGAAATAGAAAAAAAAAACATTGAAATTCTTCTGTTTTACTTTTGACTGACCTCATCACTTTTCATCAGCACTAAAGTCCCTTTGCACAAATTCTATTACTGTGAAATTTGTGATTCTTCTCCCCTTGTTATTATAACTGCAAATTTCATCACATTCTGGTTTCAAGACAATAAAGTTGTAAGCTATTTTAATTTTTTAAAAATAAAATATAACCTGAAAAACTATCAATTTTCTGTCACATTTAGCATGTTTCATCTCTACAAAGCTTAATCTTGACTGCTAATTGACTAAACAGTACATAACCTTAAAATGGCCCATTTTCAATCTTGAATTAGTATATAAGCAGATTAAAAGGTTCATTTACCGTAAGCAGTTTAAAAGATTCTCTAAAATTTAAAGATTTTGTAAAACTTAAACTAAATAAATAAAGCTTTGAATGAAAGCTAAACTATAATAGAGAAAAATATGAAAGTTTTGTATACTTGCTTTGTTACGGTTACAAAATTATACATGGGGTTCAAAGAGAAAAATGTATAGATATGGTACCGAATCCTTAGTCAGTTTTTCCTTCCTAACTCAATAGAATGTTTACCTTTTCCCACTTCCAAGTCACTTTTTAACTTGTTCTCAAGGAAGTGAAGATTATATTATATCAGACTTCTAACAAAACAAAAGGAAGAACTGCAGACCTGTGCTTTGTTGAGCATCATGGAATCAAAGGTTCTGCTTTCTCTTCCCACCTCCCCCATCTTCCCAGAACCTTTGTTCAGTCACTACTGCTTTTAATTGACTTCCTGATTCCAACAATGATTTTGAAATTTTTCTTTCAAGATATTCTCCTTCCTGGCTTTTTTTTTTCTTAAATTCTCCTATCGGTCTAGTATTTAACTGACGCTTCCTTACAAAGAAGCGGCATAGTTTTAAGTGCAACTATTTATTGGCCCTAGAATGACCATTTCCTTGGCCCTCAAAATATGGGAGAGCTAATTTGGTATAGTGGCTAAGGCAGCATCCTAGAAATTGGGAGATAGTTCTAGTCCTGCCTTAGGCCCCAAACAACTAGGTGATCTTGAGCCAATCATTCTTAGCCCCAGGAAGGAGGCAATGGTAAACTATGTCTGAAAAATCTTGCCATGATAACTTTAGGGACCTGTTCAGGCAGTCACCAGGAGTCAACAATGACTCAAAAGCACACACCCAAAAGGGATGAAAATACTGGATTAAAGGATTTGGCTTTTTGATCCTTTGAAACTGCATTTAAGGCACATCTCAGCTGTCACCTTCAGTCTATAGAATATATTTTCCCTTCCTTTGACAAATGAACATAGCATAGTTTCTCACATATATCTATACTTCGAAGAATATCCTAATCATAAAATCAATCTTACGTGCCAACTGGTACTAAAATCTTCCAGACTTTTTCATCACCAAATCAGTAGATTAGAAACCCTCAAGATAAGAATGCCTAGCAATCATGGCTCTTCGGGGACTAGTTTTGTGAGTAGATGAGTGACAGACTTAAAAGTCTTGGCAAAAAGTTTTAAGAACCACTAAAACCACTCTCCCCACCCATGTCTGGCTTCTTGGACTTGGAGAACAAATGACAGCATATTCTCATTTCAAAACTGGGAAGTGAGATTGTTCCTCCTAGGTGGTGAGCAAATGGAAAAATGGAGAGAAATAAAAAATATGTAACGGTATATAAAGAAAAGGCAGGTAAATGTATATGATTTAATTCAAACTAGGAAGAATATTTTTAATTGTCTCTATTAAGATAGGATTTTAATGGTGGTTTGTTGAATGACCAAAATAGTGCATTATACTCAATACATATAAGATATATTCAAGGAACACAGAAATATGTTATGTTTATATTTCAGGTGGGAATAGTAAGAGAGCTAATGGCTTGATTTGGACTACTTACTGTGATTATAGTATAGCTTGTATTGTCATTGTACAAAATAAATACAACAAAATATGGTTGTATGAGTAGGAATGGCTAAGAGCTTCACCACTTAGTTTTATCACAAGGTTTTGCATGACGGTGTCTTCCCTGATCAGTACATCATCATCTTCTCTGTGCATTCCTATATTTTTCTAAAAAGGCAGCAACTCCACATGGAAAGTGTCGCCATAAAGGTATCAAGAAAAGCAACTTCTAAAATAAAGACTCCCATTGGGCCAATTCGGCTATCTGATGTTTGGAACCAGAAAGGGAATATAGATTGTTAATCATTTTATTTTAACTGTAGATGTATTATCAGGGAGGATTTGTGTCTCAATTGCCAAGATGATTTAATTGACTTTTGTCTGTACAGGTAGTCCTTGACCGAGTTGGGACCAGAACTTCCATTACTAAGCAATTTGATTAAGCGAGTTATGCCCAATTTTACAATCTTTTTTTGATATGGTTGTTAGTAAATCACATTTTTATTAAGCATACTGAGTTTCCACCACTGAGCTTGCTTGTTTTAAGTTGGTTAGGGAGGTTGCAAATAAGGAATCCTGGGATGTTGCAACCATTGTAAATACATGCTAGTTGCCAAGCATCTGAATTTTGATCACATAATCTTGGGGATCCTGCAGTGGAAGTACCACTCTCTTTTTTCAGCACCACTGGAACGTTGAACCAGTATTAAATGAATGATTGTAAACCGAGGACTACTGTGGTGGTGCAGTGGTTAGAATGCAGTACTACAGGCTGCTGCCAGCAGTTGGGCAGTTCATTGCTCACCAGGCTCAAGGTTACTGAGCCTTCCATCCTTCTGAGGTCGGTAAAATGAGAATCCAGATTGTTGCGGACAATATGCTGATTTAAACTGCTTGGAGAGGGCTGTAAAGCACTGTGAAGCAGTATATGTCTTATTGCTATTGGTATATGCCTTGCCTGTAAGGTAGAGGATGAAAGGAAGATCTACAGTAAACGTTGCAACATTAAATATTCTGTTTCTAGCCTTGTCCTCTTCCATGATCCTTGTACCAAGGTTAGGAACTTTTTGTGCATGGGAAGGGAAGTTAACACTTTTGAGAAGGCTCAAAGATGTCACACAAAGTTTTTGTGTGCTGGGATTTTCCATATTTTTCTGGGGTTTCTACACAGACCAATTCTTTTTGGAAACAGCCAGGCAGGGACAGATGAATAACTCTAACCAAAATGGTCATCATGTGTCATTGCTATGATCAGTCTTAATACATGGCTAGATTTCCTGAAAGCCAGACTGCATTTGTGTGGTCCACTACATCCAGAGCTCTATTGCAACGTTCACACCTTGAATCACTGGGTGTGCAGTTTTGTCCTCCTTGCAACACTCATACCTAGCACACCATTGGTGTCAAGGGTTGTGGAGTGATGGATGGTGATGGAGGAGAAAAGCTAAAGATTTAAGGTCACTCCTATCTGGTGAAATGTAGAACTTTCTGGGCAACTCCCCAGTCTCAGTTCCCTTGGAGCAACTTACATTAAATGGTGGCGCTTGTGAGACGCCAACAAAGTGGTTTCTTATGGATACCGTCTTTAGCTCTCAAGGGAAAAGCGCTTAGCTTCAAATGCTGGCTGTCTCTCCCATCTTCACTTTTGTTTCCCAACCATCTTGACTTCTTTCCCGGTAATTTGTAACTGAGAGGATTTAGGGGAATGACTTTCATAGCATCCACAATTAATATGTTGGCACAATCAATTTGTAACCGTTTCAGTCAGTTGTTAACGTAAACGAAAGACGCTCCCCCCCCCCCTTCCCGCCTTTCATGGCACTTTTGAACTCTGACTTTTAGAACAATGTAATTAGAGGCATCTTCCTGACTGAACAGAACTGAAACGGAGCAGAAACAGGGGAGGGGTGGAGGGAGTTCCCAGGAACATTACTCAAAATTACGTTTCATAGAGCATGCTTGCCTTCTTGCGATCTTGAGCGCTGTTAGATTTGTGGAACGGATGCACAGTTGGTCCCGGTTAAGCAAAATTCCCTTGAGCTTTCATGGGATGAACCTAAGCCAATCGGGGCTAAAATTGGCGGAGGAATCCGAATTAATTTGTCTACCCTCCCAGCCACCACCACCCCCGCGCTCCCCTCCCCCGGTTTCTCTCCACACCAAAACATCCCAGGGCTGCCGCGCCGCCGAGCCAAGCAGGGATACGGTTTTGACCCACGTGGGTTGGCCCGGCCAGCCAATCCGCGGCCGGGGAAACCCGCGCGAAGCCCCGCCCTCCTCCTCCTCCTCCCCTCCCCGCTCCCTCCCGAGCTCTTCAGCCACGGCTGCTGCAAGTGATTAATTTTTGTCATATGACTGTCACACCGAATGGAGTCGGGTTCGAGGAACTAAGCTGGCTGCCCCAGCTGCGAAAGGGCGATCGCTGCACAGGCTGTTCCCTGCAGGGACGGAGCGTCGCATTCCCAAAATGCCTCCCACACCCACCTTGTTGCAGAAGCTTTTCAACAAAAAGAACGGCTTGCTTTCCCCCGCCAAGGAGTTCAAGGAAGAGGCGGTCTTCAGGTAGGTAGGGGCAGGCGAAAGCCGGGCGAGGCAGCGGCTGCCAGCTCGTCTCCGGCGGGGGAAGCATGCTTGGCTTTCCGCTCTGTTGGCTGCTCGATCGCTTCCTACTGCACCCAGCAACGGGTGCCTGGGGGGGGGGAGGGTGTCTGTCCTGTCCCCCACTCCCCTCCCTAGTCCGGGGCAGCCCGAGAGACTCTCCCAGCGCCTTTCCGCCCATCTGGCTTCCCCGAAGAAGCCTGGAGGAGGAGGAGGCGGGCGCGCAGGATTTCTTTCTTGGCAAGCTCTGCGCTGCCTTGGCGCCCGCATCGCCGGGCTCCCTCTCGGGCGGAAATCACACGGATATGCGCCTTCGCTGTGCGCCAAAACTTCGTGCGAAGCTTTTTTCTTTCTTTCTTTCTTCCTCCTCCTCCTCTTCCTCCTCCCCACAGTCTAAACACGGTCTCTCTCTCTCCCCCCCCCCCAAAAAAAATCGGGCACATCACGTGCAGGCAAAGACTGCGCAAACCGGAGTTTTACATCACTTTCCGTCGGTTGCCAAAGCCTAAAAGAACCAGAAGGATCCATTCTCCCCTTCTTCTTCTTCTCCATCCTACTTCTCCTCCTAGTCCCGCTTCGTCTGCCTTTGAAGTTCTCTCTTTTCGCTCTGCATCAGAAGGGATCTCTTCTTCCTTCCACTTGCCCACCGGCTGGTTCGTTTCCTCTTTCCTTCTTCTCCTTGATGCCGCGTATTGACTGAACAGGTTGTTGTTCTTTTTTCCCTTTTAAAAAAAAATCTCTTGGCCGCCTTTGCCAGGAGAAAGGGAGGGTTGAAGTTTGGCCAGAGCCACCTTAAAATGTTAAGGAAGGAGAAAACGGGGCTGTCAGCTGTGGGTAGATTTATGGAGGAATCTCTCCAGGTCCAGTCACAAGACAATCCTGTAAGGCTGCAGGCACGGGCTAGCAAAGGGATATCTGCCTCCCCCTCTCTCCAATTTTTCCTACCACTCCTTTTTCTCACCTGTATCCTGAAGGGCAGCCTTCTCCCCCAAATTTTGCCTGTTGAATTGGTCTATGCAAGTATTCCATTATTCATAGATGGCCTCATAGATGGGATGGGTAGCTGGTTGCTGGAGGCATCAAGTTGGGGAAAGTTGCTTTACAATTTAGGATTATTATTCATTACATTCGATACTTAATCATTCTGCTTTGGGCTGTTGAAGAAAAAGTGGCCTCGTGTAGTAGAAACTCAGAGCCTATTATTATCTCTTTATGATGCAGCTTAGTCATATGACTATTATTTGCCTAGAGATGGCAGTGATAAGGATTGTATTTAGAGTTGAACCGAGCTTCATTCAGTTCAGTCAGTAACTCTGAAGCCTTGCTGTATTGTCCAGCCTTGCCTCTGAACAGGGGCAGGGAAGTGTCAGTTCCGTCCTGTACATATTTCTTGGACCTGAGTGCAATCCTGAATAAGGGTGGACTTATGAACCCTGCTGCATCCCCCGTTCCCAATGACTTGGGAGTGAAATAATTCAAAGTACCAATTTGAGCAAAAAGCATCGGTTGTGCTGAGCCAAAGCTTTAAAAATATAGGATTGGATTGACATCGGCAAGTGGACTTTTGCAGCTAGAAGAGGAATTACTTGCAAAGTTGGAGTTGTAGTATTAAAATATTGGTGCAAGTGAGATTCACTGTATCTCTTACACTTAGGTGCATAAATTATATAACACGTTCTTTTCTGCCTGTGGAAACTGCTAGGTTGTTGCTATTGATTTTGATTTTGACATGTATTTAGCTATCTTTATGGCATTCCTACTTAAAACTGGCTACTTGCCTTTCCTTTTATGGCGTTCCATCTTCCAGTTTAATTATATGTCAGAACTTAAAATATATAGCCTCAGGGCTATGAGGAACCATTTATCAGCTTTGTTTAATTTTGATTATAACCATATTGTTATTTTGTTGGCACTGGATGCTAAATTTATTTGAAACTATTCGTAGTGTATAAATCTACTGCATTATCTCAGTAAAACTGTCACTGCACTTTTGAAGGATTTTGTGTAGCTTGATATATAAACAAACATCATGGGGTTCCTTCTTAAATTTAAGACACTGCATTTACTTTTATCTTGACTTTTAATTATTTAACTGCCCACTTTGTTAGGAAGACTTTCACTTTAACATCCTACAGTTTATCATTCACTATATTGATGTGTACAAATAATAAAACAAAATGTACACATGAGCTGTAATAGGGTGTAATAGGTGGCTCAGTGGCTAAGATGTTGAGCTTGTTAAGCAGAAAGGTCAGCAGTTTGAATGTGTCACATAGCAGAGTGGGCTCCCATTACTTGTCCCAGCTTCTGCCAATCCAGCAGTTCGAAAGCATGTATTATTATTATTATTATTGTTGTTGTTGTTGTTGTTGTTGTTATTATTATTAAACACATTTATATGCCACACAATCCCGAAGGACTCCGTAAAATGCAAATAGAAAAATAGGGACCACCTTTGGTGGGAAGGTAATTTAGTCATGCCAGATACATAACTACAGAGACATCTTCGGATAGCACGGGCTCTTCAGCTTTGAAACAGACATGAGTACCAGGAACAACTAGCACATATGTGCGAAGGGAACTTTTACCTTTACCTTACATATGAGCTGTATCCTCTTTGCTTCTCACATTTCCACTCTGAGTTTGATGACCATCAATTGGCTGTGCCGGCCTGTGATCAAGGTCTTCCAATAAATCTAAAGATCTAGATCTACAAACTTTGCACTCCCTTATCTAGAAGCAAGTCTCTTGAATTCTGTTGGGCTTTTCCCCCTGAACAGATACAAATAAAACTAATCTTAAGTGTTATGAGCAAAACCTAGGTTTCTGAGTGAAATGTTTGTACTTAGAGAAAATTTGAATAGTTGTATTACCACATTTCTGATAAAACTAGTTAGCTCAATATTTGTGTAGCTCAATATTTGAAAGTCCATAGAAGGATATGCCAGTATTCTAGTACAGGTAGTCTTTGACTTACAACCATTCGTTTAGTGACTTTTCAAAGTTATAACACTAAAAAGGGACTTATGATTGGTTCTTACACTTATGACTATCACACCACATGATCAAAATTTGGGCTCTTGACAACCAGCATTTATTTATGACAATTGCAATGTCCCAGAGTGACAAGATCCTTCCCAGCCAGCTTCCGACAAGCAAAATCAATGGGGGTAGCTGGATTCATTTAACAACCACATGATTCACTTAATGACCTCAACTATGGTGGAAAAGGTCATAAAATTGGGCACAGCTCACTTAACAACCACCTTGCTTAGCAATGGAAATTCTAATTCCAATTGTCGTAAATTGAGAACTACCCATAAGAAGGTATTGAAAGTTAAGGGCTTCCTTTTTAGTATGCACAGTAAAAGTTAAACGTCTAGTTCAAGGGTCAGCAACCCATGGCTCTGGAGCCGCACGTGGCTCTTTCATCCCTCTGCTGCAGCTCCCTGTCGCCAGTTGGCTTCACAGTTGATAGGGCTTTCGGTTAGAACAGGTAGAGCAAAAAGGATCCTGCACTAGGAGGAGACTCTATGGTGGGGGAACCGGACTTCCGGTCGGCTCCAGAATTGAATGGGGGGCTTCCAGTTTGGACCTTTGGAGCTCTTTGAGTGTTTAAGGTAGCCGACCCCTGTTCTGGTTAAATAGAATAGTTACGGTTACAGTGTACCTTAGCGCTTATGTTTAATAAGTAGCTTTTTTCATCAATTTAAAAATTAAGAATTTCTTATGACAAATCTAAATAAATTATGCAGTTATCGATGAACAACTACTTTTGGGGTGGGCCTTGAGGAATCTTCAGTGTGTGCATGTACCTGCAATATTCCTGTTTTAAAGAAGCATGAATAATTGTTAACCTGTCCTATATGTTCATAGCCCTAGCTTGTCAACCCTTCATACCTTTCATAGCTTGGTTATATATGCTGTTTACCTGCAAATTTTGCTCACTGATTATTACCTTCTGTCTTTTTAAATAGCAGGGTAGCATTTAAGGTGGTGAAATTTTGATACAAGTGAAGCATTCAGAAATTTGGAACGTACACATGTTTCAAAATCTTGATGGTTATAGAGCTAACAAGGCTCTGAGTAAGGGTGCTGCTGTCAGCACATTTGAAATTGGCAATGCAGATTTTTCTTTTTATTAGTGGAATCTCAAAATAAGGCTATGTATATGTCATTCAGTACACATATTGGTACAGGGGTCTATATGTGGCATGGCTTGTTTTAGGTGCAGGCCTGTATATGTCATATCCACTTATTCTATCCCATGGGTGGAACACAGTACAGTCACATATCTTCAACAGTCTGCTAAGTGTTCCCCAATTTTTTTTATTGTTTGGGATCAGGGATGGGCTGCTGGTGGTTTGTAGGGTTTCGGGAGAACCTCTAGCTAAGATTCTGTGCAGTTCAGAGACCCCACCCCCCAAATCCCACTCCTGGCTGGCCATTCCTACATGGCCCGTTTTGGATGTGGGTAAGTGCCAGGCGCACACAGGGGCTCAGGGAGAGCGAAAAACAGGCCTACCGGAAGAGGGCCTCCAGAGCCTGGTGAGGCCATTTTCGCCTCGAGGAAAGCATCCGGAGCCTGGGAAGGGCAAAAAACTCCCTCCCTGCTGTGATGCAGGGGGCCGACTAGGACATGTCCTTAGCAACCAGGCAAAGAATCCCTTACTAAAATTTTGGAAGCCCATCCATGCTGTTTGAGATCATTTAAAACAGCTTTTGGTCAGGCATGAAGGATTCCTTGTGGAAGGAGAAGAAGTAGAAAATTTACTGTGTGAAAATTATACTTGGATGATCATAGAACCCTTATTCATTCATTCATGTTGGGGATCACCTTGTATGTACACATGTGCCCGTTCACACCTAAACAAGATAGCACAATTTTGCAAGCAAGTACATCATAGGGAATTAACAAATCAGCAGTTATTGGACATGATAGCTGTAGACATCCCTACATGAATATTTTCTGATTCTCAGACACGGGGGACAAATCACCATATATTATATGTGCTTTGCCAAAGACATCTAGTTCCTTGTTACTGAAACAGCATGTTGGGATTCTTCCAACCAGATGGACTGTAATGGCATTATTGCTCTTAGAATTCCCAGTTGGTAATGCTATCATCTGGAGGACAGTAAATCAGCATAAGTAGCAATAAATTATCTTGGCCTAATCCAACCAGGCAGCACTAATATTCTTTAGGTTTGTGTATAAATGTGTGTGTGTATTTTTTGCAATATTTACTGTTGATGCCTTGTATTTTCTAGTCTGCTTAAAACCCGTACATTAACTAATTCACCGATTAAAAGTCCCTGCCTACCACTTGTTCTGTGAAAGGACAAATGAACAAGGCAACAATGATAAAAGTTGTCCATATGTGTAAATTCTTTTTTATTTCAAAAGATTGCTTTCTTGAGAAAAGTCAGTACCACGTTCTGTTGCTCTTCACAATGCTGAATGTTTCTAAGCTCACTTTTACTGCAAACGTGTTTTGAATGTAATACCTTGAGTATTAAAACTTTCTGTTTTCCTTACCACTATCTAAATCATTTCTTCTAGAAAATTTATATGAGGGTTACATGAGAATATTGTTGTTGTTGTTGTTACGTGGTTAATCTTTGGTGAGATTCACAGCCTTTGGGGCTGATTGGTAGCTCAACAGCTCGAGTCCTAACCAAGGACCTAGGAACTGTTAAGGTAATGTCGAAGGATATAAGCTGTTCCAAGTAGGGTGGTTTTTTGTAGAGTCAGAATGTTCAAATCTGATAAATGTATTATTATTATTATTGTGTGGTTAATCTTTGGTGAGATTCACAGCCTTTGGGGCTGATTGGTAGCTCAACAGCTCGAGTCCTAACCAAGGACTTAGGAACTGTTAAGGTAACGTCGAAGGATATAAGCTGTTCCAAGTAGGGTGGTTTTTTGTAGAGTCAGAATGTTCAAATCTGATAAATGTATTATTATTATTACTGTGTGGTTAATCTTTGGTGAGATTCACAGCCTTTGGGGCTGGTTGGTAGCTCAACAGCTCGAGTCCTAACCAAGGACCTAGGAACTGTTAAGTTATGTCGAAGGATATAAGCTGTTCCAAGTAGGGTGGTTTTTTGTAGAGTCAGAATGTTCAAATCTGATAAATGTATTATTATTATTACTGTGTGGTTAATCTTTGGTGAGATTCACAGCCTTTGGGGCTGGTTGGTAGCTCAACAGCTCGAGTCCTAACCAAGGACCTAGGAACTGTTAAGTTCCTAGGTCCTTGG